TGTGAGGAGACGTTGCTCCTCACGAAGTAATTCACCAAAACATTCTTCCGACGTAGGAGGATGACAAAGCATAAGATTAGACCGAACATTCTCAAAATCAGATCTCGATTTTATCAGAAATTGATCTCACTTGCCAATTTTATAAACCACCAATACGTCAGAGAGTGCCTTTTTGGAGTCAGTAGCACAAATATTTTCTGACAATTCACACCATAAGATTTGAAAACCTGAAAAATACTCCTGAATGAATAGACTGCCTTGAGTGTAATTTTCAATCTCACATTCCAAATGAAATTTTCGTGCTGAGTCACGTTGACAATAAACTTCCTATAAATATACCCACATTTCTTTAGCAGTTTTATATAGGCGCAAATTAGGAATGATTTGAGAATCGCAAGAATTTATAACCCAAGACATTACCCATGCATCCTCGATCGTCCATTGAGCCATTCTAGTGGCATCGGTAGGTGGAGTAGTCTCATCAATATGTCCCCATAGCCCCTTGTCCAGTAACATACAACTGGAATTGGATTTCCCATGTTGAATAATTCTTTCCTGTAAACTTGTCACAAAATTCAGAATCTTATTATCTGGTAGTCATGTGTAATCCCAAAAAAACCCGAAAAAATACCAGAATATTTCCCAACGGAAGGATCAAATACCAAAGATTTCTCAATAGTAACAGAAACCAAAACTAGGACAATTCTAAACCAAGAGCTCTGATACCATGACAATTTGTTTCATTCCTAAAACTTGATGATCTTCTTTGGTTACAATACCATGACAATTTGTTTCATTCCCAAAACTTGATGATCTTCTTTGAGTACAATACAAAGTATAAATAGGATTAAGAAGGGCTGATCTATATGCTAAATTATAGGTAATTTACAATTAATGAGACTAATTTATAGGCTAACTTAATGGCTTGACAATCTAATTGTAATTAATAGGCTAATTACAATTAATGAAAGGCTAATCTATAGGCTAAAAAAACCTATACTATCAATTGCATCATTTACATATAGCCAATAAAGTTTTCATGGGATTTCTTTTGCATTTTAGTCAGCTTGTTGCGCTTGTTTGCTACAGAGACAGTAAATTTGCGGAAATAGCTAACTAGAATATGTTATTGCTTCTACATTTCATGTGTGTTGAGGTGAGGTTAAACAAATTATACATGTCTTGTCCACTCTTTTCCGTTATCAAGAATGAAAGGTGCAAAGATGAACAAAAACCATACCATATATATCTTATTGTGCATAATCATCTATCTAATAAAATATAGGGTAAATTATATTACATCTCTTTGTGTTTTAGTAAAAATGCACAAAACACCTCATGTTTTATTTATTGCGTAAAACCCCATTTTGTTGAATTAAAATGTGCACAAAACACTCTCTTCGTCCAAAAATGATGTTTGGGTGTCAATATGAACCTAATTATGCAAGTTTTATACAAATAAAAGACGTAAAATATCTTAAATAGTTTTTCTTTGGATAAAATAATTAAATAAATAATTATTAATTGTTCATTTTATAGTTTTTTTGGAGACAAATTGTTATTTAAATTTTACAAAAACTATAAAAAAGAATTGATCAATTATTAATTAATTTATTTATTCAAAATAAATTATTTGAGATATTTTATGTCTTTTATTTGTATAACACTTGCATAATTAAGTTCGTATTACATCAAACATTAGCTTTGGATGAAAGCGGTGTTTTGTGCAAACTTTAATTTAACACAAGAAATTTTACGCTATAAATAAAACACGAGGTGTTTTGTGCATTTTTACTAAAATACAAGTGGGTTTGTATAATTTACTCTAAAATATATAGAGAATAAAAACACGTATACACATACTTCTAATACTCCATCTCATGCTAGAGCTTCTATGTTGCTCATACTCAAGTTGTCACTAATTTACAACTTGCTTTGAAGGTGTGAGCATAATTCTTGTTGTTCATAAGTGTCTCTTAATAGAGTTGCAATCATTAAAATGTTTGATCCTTGTGAAATATTTGTGTTTAGTTTGTGGTCTCGAATTAGACTCATTATTTATCATATTTTTTTTTTCCTAAAAAACATTACATTAAATACTACTCTCTCCGTCGCAACTCAAAGTACCCTATTACCTTTCTTTATTAGTTTCTTTTGTCTTACTCAAAAGTATTCATTTCTTATTTTAGTTAAAGTAATTATATACTAATATCAAAATACCTTTAATTTTTACTTAAATTACAAACATACAATTACAAATACAATTATTTTATATATAAAGTTAAAGATAAAAATGTCAATATTTTACCACTTCCACTAACTAATAAAATATTATTATTTCTTAATTTACTACAAAACTCCAAAGGGGTACATTCTAGTGGAACGGAGGGACTACTATTCATTTAAAATGCTACAGCTAAAACTCATTTGTATCCAATACATCTATTAAGCACTTATTTATATCATATCAAAAATATATTTCTATTCAAATTTTTATCCTTCCCTAACTAACAATCCACATATTGATTTGTTTGGAGGTCTGGACTTAGGGGGGTGTAATCAATATAGATTTTATTGGATTTCATTGGACTCTTAAAATCTGGGTGTATTCAATCCAGATTTTAAAAAGTCTTTTAAAATTTTGGTGTATTTAATCCAAACTTTTAAAAGTTTTTTAAACTCTGGGTGTATTCAATTCAGATTTTTAAAAGTCTTTTAAAATTTGGGTGTATTCAACAATCCATGGACTTTAAAAATCATGGATTTTGTTGGATTGTTTAATAAAATTGTTTAAAACATAACACTATAGAATCTCTTTTTATGAGGTGAGATTTCAAAGGATTCTCAAAATTAGTAAAAAAGTACATATTATTTTATTTATATCATTAATAACTATTTATTATTTTATTATAATAATATCAATAAGATAAGAAAATTTAAATGTTTAATATAAAAATTACAAATATTTTAAAGTTTTATATATTTGAAATAATATTAAAAATTATATATATAAAATAACAAATAAACTTGTTCGAATGGTTCAAATTAAAATTATCAGTTTTAATGTTTGGAAATGTCAAATCAAATTTAAACTTTCCATAATTTTAATTTATATTTTCTTATTTCGATTTTAGTTCGGTCAGTTCAAAAACCACCGATTATACTTGACAATGTTAGTTTATGTTTATTCCTTTTTAATTATTTTATTTTTAATTTTTTTATTAATAAAAATTGTAATCTTAATGTGATTTTATTTATAAATATTTTTTTGTATAAAAATTCATATAAATAATAATAATAACAATTTAATAGATTGTTATAAAATAAAAATTAATTACGCTGAATATATATTAAATCCGATCAAAATAATACTATAACAAAAATATAAATTTAAAAATATTATTATTATTAAAATAAAATAAAAATGAGAATAATAATAAATATTTTTTTTTTAGAACTAATTTACTTTTAATATTTTTGTTAAATATTTGAAATTTTTTATATACATACAAGTGTACTGCATATATTTGAAATATATAAATCAATAAAAAAATATTTAATTTACAAATTTATAAAGTCTAATGAAGTCTAGGGAAATTAATAGTAGAATAGTAATAATATGCATTTCAGGAAAATTTTTATTATTTCAGGAAAATCCATTTTCAGGAAATGCATATTCGAAATAGTAGAAAACTGGGATTTGGGGTGTAAAGAAACACACCCTTAGATTCTTGGCTATATATATGAATTTCGGATTACCAACATGAGTAGGAAGTGCACTGTAGCATATATATATCCACAACTGTGTAAGACATAGCCTGTATGCACTAAAAATTTCCACAGTATTTTGTTAATAACTACACCTTGCAAGGTTCCTCCAAGATAGGTGCATTGTCCAGAAGTGGATTCTGTTTCTTCCTTTGAACCCACAGCTTAGATCTTCTGATGCCATTGCTTTAACTAACAAACTTTTTCCAGGATCTCCCTTCATATATCTTTGTATCAAGAGAAAATTCATGTGACTAGATTGAGACTTCTGTTATAACTGGCTAACTAAAAATGCTGGAAGTGATATATGATTGAGACTTAGTGCTTGAAACTTCAGAAAATGCAAGGAAGAAGGATGAGACTTGACTACATTTGGTGTAGATACACCTGATTTGTTTAGCCAGTACTTTAATAATAGTGGATGTCAAATAAGCTAGGATTTGTAAATGAGGAAGATCGATCTGGGCTACTGGAGAGGTAGTTTCTTTGGGGTAATCAACTGAGATGTAAGAGAATGCAAGGGCATATGTAAGATTTGCAAGCTTTAGGATTACAACATGAATTTTTTTTTTGTGTACGAGAGTGTCTGAGCAATATACACTTGATGGAACGATTTGTGATCATGACCCGCGCAAAAATTGGAACAAAAGGACTAAGAAATACAAAGTTAGAGATAGAACAGTGATTTATTGCATGAGAAAGGAATATGAAATAAGCAAGGAGAAGATATGCAGTGGGTGCAACACCCTCGAGAATAATATGTAGGAACATGCATATGTATCGTCATGGACTCATGGTGCATATCTCCTATGTGATATGATTGTGTTTGAGCTCAGATAGCCCGTTTTGGTGTGAGGTCCACGGACAGTTGTTCTGTTTGCAATCCTCTGAGAGTCACATAATTTAAAAATACAGTATACTAGTATAGTGCATTATTGGTCATATCAAAGGGGGAAATTTGATGTATTCATCTGTAATACATGCATTCCCATTATAGATGATTGGGGGATTACTAAGATGAAAACAAATCACACAATTATATTACTTTCTTCTTAATCAAAGTAACCATAGGAACATGTTTACCATGAAATACGAAGAAGAAAAAAAAAGGGAGAACAAATGAGAATCAATATCCTGATATATTCTATCATTTTTTTTACTATGTTGGTAACTGGATGTTCATTCTCACTTGATAACCACTGCTAACTGTTTTCCATATTTTTATGGTGTAGAAATGTCTACCCAGGAACTTATCAAGGCTGGAAAGGACACAATGCTTGAAACTGACCAAGCTATTGAACGCTCTAAACAGGTGAGTAAAACTTGTGTGCACAGTCTCAAACTCATGGGTATGCATATTCTAAACTTATTTTTACTTGCAGGTTGTTCACCAAACTATTGAAGTGGGGACACAAACTGCCACAACATTAAAGGGTCAAGTGAGTTCAGCTTTGTGCTTTACTTATTTGCAGGTTCTTTTCTAATACATACACGTTTATGTTTGAATGTTTGTAGACTGAACAAATGGGCCGCATTGTGAATGAACTTGACACAATTCAGTTCTCTATCAAAAAGGCTTCCCAGCTTGTTAAGGAGATCGGTAGGCAGGTATTTTAGTTGGATAAACTGCCACTTCCACTGCTGTTTGCAAATAATTACCTAATTTGGAATTTTCCTTGTCTTTGGTTTCATACTATTATCATTGATTGATATTACTAATTTTCATGTGTTTGTAGGTGGCTACTGATAAATGCATCATGCTTTTTCTTTTTCTGATTGTATGTGGAGTTATTGCGATAATTGTTGTGAAGGTATGCTCCTAGACTCTAAATTCTCATTGAACACTGACTTATTTATGAATGAGAATATATGTTCAAGTGAATACTGGATTTTGTAATGTCCAGTCTACTTGAGTCAAACACGATGAGATAATCTATCTGTACAGGTCAACATTTCAGATGCTTGCTGATTTCGTTTTTCTGTGACTGAAATCATTTATTAGTCTTGATTTCCCCTATTTGGTTGGATAAGTTTTTCTTTATCATAGTAATTTTAGGAATAATTTTGGCCACCCCCTGTTACTTAACAGATGTACACTGCATGGTATAGTCTCAACATGTACCTTGCATTTCTTCTAGGCATGGTTTCTTAGTTTGCTAATTAAGCTTACGTCCTCAGTATTTTGAAAAGGTAACATGAACTATTGCTGATTATAGTTTTTGTTCTGTTAGATTGTGAATCCAAACAACAAAAGTATTAGGGATATTCCTGGACTGGCTCCTCCGGCTCCATCAGCAAGAAGATTGTTGTATGCACAGCCAGAAGGCAATTTTGTGTAACTAGCTGTCCCAGATATGGCCACATGTGTCTTCCAATTTGATTGTCAATGAGGTAATGACAACTCTATGTGGGGCTGCTGCATTTGCTTCTTGATTGAGCTCTGCCTATTTGTATCTTCTCAATGTATAGTTAGAGGTTGCATCACTCATTGTTCATATGAGTCATCGATGTGGTTAAATGTGGTACTTGGACCTTTAGAGTGAGTGATTTGAATGTTTAATTTCTCCTTCATTCTTGTAAATCATTTGTTGTCATAACTTTCTGGCACTTCTGTTTATGAGGATATGGTCTGAGTTGATCATTGCGATTGCACTTTTGGTGGATTAATTTCATATAAAAAGAGGCTTGTATGTATTGGTGCTGAGATGTATTAGCTCCTTACGTGGATGATGAAAACTTCGTTTCTACCTCGCATAGATTAATTTGGCAGCTAAATGTAGCTTAGTCCTTAGGATTGGACTCATTATTATGCATGTATGGTGGTAATTGCCCTGGCCTAGAATATAAGTGAACTTGGATGTAGCCTGAGATTCTTACGAGAACTTCGTCCAGAAACTTGTTTGAATAATTTCCCAATGACTGTAGCTCTTGATTTCCAGTCCAGCTGTTGTCTTGTTCCCTGTTATATTTATCTATTTCTGCGTTGCAACATTGCTATCCATCGTGCTGTTGCTGTTCAAGCCCTCAGCAGCCTATGAGTTGATGAATTCAAAGCTAAAATCCAAACATGGGAATCCCAATAAGATTATGATCATACAGCTTCCTCTAGACGGTATGGAAACCAGGTATCAACTATTGTAAAATTTTCAGATAGGGACAAACCAAAACAAAATCTCACAGCTATGGGCCATTTGCAAGGGTTCTTGCACCCCTTGAGGAGCACAATTTTTACTATTCCTAGGTTTAATTTTCTCTAGAGAATCATTTGTAAAATTTGTAACTTTGCGATGACCAAGTTCCTCTCCAAAGTCTCTACACACAAACACATCGGGAGGTTTGAATATTTGAACTTGGGTATTTGTCCTTTTAAAACAATCTTAGTATAAAATTCTCCCCGGTTCACATATGAGAAGAAAACTCAATATAATTGATCGTATCATCGTAGGATAGAAAGAGTAGCCTTTCCAATTGCCAAAAAAGTCCTCATTTCCGACTCCATGAATCAAAGAGGAACGCACTCCAAGTCAGTCCCTTGTTTCCAATATTACAGCACAAATAATGTATCAAAAGCTAAGACGAATATCTTACACAGGAAGAGTATAGATTATGGTGCTTCACCGTGGGGTCCAGATTGAGTATTCAACAGTGATGTGAGCTTTCACTACAATGCTAATGTTTGGGCGGAAGTCTGATTCATATCACACACAAGGCAGCAACTTTCATCATCTACTTCAAGGAATCACAGTTAACAATGAATGAAAGAAATAAGCAGACATTATAGCTTATATGCATGATGTATGTCCATATACATACACCTTCCATTGTGTATGCCTACTAAATAGGTGCTACTCGTGTAGAGGTTGGATAACCCGATATATACACTACATTCTAAAAAGTTGATTGAGGATAAAACTTGATTTAAGTTAATTGAACTACTAATTTACTAGTCACATTTCTCTTCAAAAGACTTAAAAAGAGCATACTCTAGTGCATGGTAGCCGAAAGTCCCAAGAACTTGAGTGGAATGGAGACGAGCTGCCATGTCAATTGTCAGTGGCTTGATTTGACAAATCAAAATCTGCAATCTTAACAATATAATCATCGAAAAGTAACATATTGCTAAATTTGATCTCGATGAGTAATACGAGGATGTGCCTTACTCTTTGAGTCCAGGACAGAGCAAGACCTGACAGTGCACCTTTGACAACTTCACTTCCTATATTAGCATGAACATGTGCACTTATTAATAAGGAATGTCTTACGTCTCTTGTCAAGAAGTAACTGTAGGGCAACATTATTAGAAGCCTGTAATACTCCTGCAGTTGGGCCGGTGCTAGGCCAACTCCCGTGGATGAGTCGGTGTCAGGCCGTCCGAGGCTGAATATAGGTTAAATTGATTGAATAGACTATTCATATCACCAATGTGTATATTCATTTTCGGAAGTCCTAACTCCACAGTAATTTGAAGATGAGTGACCCCTTGAAAAGTCTCCCAGGTACGCGTGAGTGGGGACAAAAGCGTGTTGAAAGGACTCGTGTTAGTTGACCTATGGGGCCAGTCTACAATCCCGACATGCTCGGCTTTACGTTGCGGGCCAGGGTGTCACAAAGCCACTAGGAGAGTTCCAACCAATTTGGTAAAAATATTTGTGTTTTAAAAATAAGGGAAACATATTTACTTTCAATTGAAACATACCAGACTGCCTAAACAGTAAGTAACTTCACCAAATTTAAGAAAGTTTCATTTGCTTCCATTTTAAAAAATTTTATCTCCTTTTCAGTTGAAACATGGGTTTGTAACATGAAAGTTGCAAAATGGATACACTAAATAATCAAAATTGAAATCAATGAGTATAGATTGTGGTAGGTACGACTATCATAGTGAAAAGTAAATAAAGCATAATAAATTGAAACATCTACCTTTAAAAACAACTGTTCAATAGTGAAAGACGTGCAGTTGTGTCCATATACCTCATCCAAAAATAATGCTTTACCAATATCAAGTGATTTGTGAGTAATGTATTGTATTCAGTGCTCCAAATTGTAATTATGTCACTACTAATCATTCCAAAACAGTAACTACAAGATCTCACCATGAAGAACGTCGTGTAGGGATCCATTGTGAGCAAACTCATAAGCCAGCACCTCCAGGCCACCGTCTATACAGTAACCTAGGAGCTCAATGACATTGTCATGTTTTAGCCTTGATACCACAAAGACCTATATGTATAGCTGTAAAGTAGTAACTGTAACTTCATGGTGTCAAAAAAAGTGCAAGTAGTCACAGCCAAACCTATACTAAAAATTCTTGGTCTGGTTGTTTTCTCTTGGAGGACTTCGGTCTCCGTGCGGACAAATTTGATCATCGACTTTGGATTTCAGATACTTTTTTTGATGGATTTGGAGCTTTGATCTTTGCGGAGGAGGATTTGGTGCTCCATAACGCTTTTGACGACATGTCCTTTTGGCTTTTGGATCGAAGAGGGCCAAATTTGATACTTTGACAAAGAACGCAATGAATGTCTTGAAGCTTTGGGATGAATTTTAAAGGTTCTTCCTTGGCTTTGATGATTTTATTTAACAGCTTTTGGAGTTTTGCTCATTCCTTCAGCTTGGCCATACGACGAAGAACGTTAAGCTTATCCATCCGTCAACCAATTTTGAATCATTTGTCCAAATTGAAGACTTTTTTATGAAGAACACTTCGAATGACACAAAGAATACGAAGAACAATGCAAAGAGTCTAAAGAGACTTACCTTTGTTCGAGTCTTCAAATGAACGCCGGCGTCTCAAACGAATTGGCCGAGACCTCTATTTATAGGAGAGGGATAGTCTCGGCTTCCTTTTCGAATGGTGTCATATGGCGCGTTCCAATTGACCAACATAAAGATTTTATAATATTTTCTTTTTCATCAAATGTTCCATTCTTGAATGATTTGATTGTGTATTTTTCTTTCTCACCAAGATCTTTATATCATTTTTTTTTTTTTTGAAAGATATTAATTATAATACTTTCTTTTTATTGACAAGATTTATTTAATTTACTGTCTAATTTATTATGGTTTTATATATGCACATAATATTTGTACGATATCTTCCATTTTAAACATATTTCGCATTAATGATTCATATTTATTATATAAGAATTAACATATATGCATAATTAAATACTATATATTTATTTGATTTTAATATTATTTTCTCCAAAAAATATATAATGTTTAATTGAATTTAGGCATTTATGTTTTAATGCGTACAATATCTATTTAAAACATTATAGTCTATCAATTCTAAAAAGAATTAAAATGTGGCAGTAGTTAATGGTCACTCACAAGATGTCATGACATGTCATTTCTTTTTCAAATGATCACTTTGAAAAGTGATATCGAAATGAACATGGGAGAACAAAGGAGATGTTATGCCTGATTTAAGGAATTTAAATACAAAAGCAGAAAAGGACTTATAATGCCATTAATGGAGAACATATTACAACTTTCAATACAGTCAGTGCAATTTATCTGATTCGGTTTCAAAGTGTGTGAACCGAAACATATAGCACATGAGGCTTACTTTCATTGTCTTAATTTCATTTTCTTTTGTTAATTTCATCGTGTTTTATGTTAATTTATGTTTCCATGCTTACTTTATTCGATTTTCAGTAAATTTTAGCTAATTTTTTAAAAATTCGGCCGTTAATGCTCGAAGCCATGAAGCTCTACTGTCGTAGCCGCTCCCTAATCGGATTACGAATAGGCTTTGTGGAGTTTTATGGGACTCACACCGCTTGATCTTTCGGCGTATCATATTCATTAGAGGCTCAAGGCCCTTTCGGAAAATCTAAGTTGGAGCCTCATGATATTCATTTTCGGTTCCAACAATTTGTCTCTCTATGTCCAATTTGATTTGATTGACAAATTTGTGATATTAATCTATGTGGGTTATTTCATTATTACATGAAATAATATCGTTTCTATTGTTTGGTTGAAACAAAAATTCAATAATAATTTTCAATCAAGGTTTCATTGAGATATAAATAGTCATATTTCCCATGGATAGTTATTTTTTAACCTAAGTAAATTCATAGTATGTTTGCTATTGTTTAAAAAATGCTAAGATATTACTGTAGGAATTTTTTGAAAAAAATGTCTAAATTTAATTAAATATCATATAATTTGGGAGAAAATAAATTTTCATTACAATAAATATGTGATATTTAATTATGTATATATATTAGTTTATGTATAAGAAATATTGACTATTAATGTAAAATCTGCTTAAAATATCAGATACCGTACAAATATTATGTGTATATATAAAACTATAATAAATTTGGAAACAAATAAAGGAAGCATTGTAATTAATATCATCTGGAGAAATGAAATGATATAAAAATCTTGACGAGAGATAAATGTGCATAATCAAATCTATGCAAAAAAAAAAATGACATAACGAAAAAAAAATGTCATAAAGTTTTTTTTTATTGGTCAATCAAATGCGCCACGTGGTCTCGCCCAAAAAGGAAACCGAGCCTACCCTTTCTCTATATTTAATTATGTATATATATATTAATTTATGTATAAGAAATATTAACTATTAATGTAAAATCTGCTTAAAATATAAGATACATACAAATATTATGT